GGCTGCTGCACCGTCAGTGGCAGTGGCGGTGAGGTGTCCGGCGACTGTGACTGGTACTGCGAGACCGCCGTAAGTAGGAGAGTTTAACCGGGACGATGCTGACGGCTGCCCTTATCGTGTGCCAATTTTCGCATGGCGCGAATCTTATCACTGTTATTACGTATTGGATATGGGGTCCGGGCATCAGGGCACGAGAAATGTCATACTTCTTCAATTTTTCAATTTTTTGAATTTTATTGTTTTCTAGTACTTTTGTATGTTAATTGAGACACGTGGTACTATTCTGTGTTACGATGGTGACTTTGGTAATTTACGAGGGAGGTTTTGGTTTGAGGGATGGGAAGGGGTATGATTTCTTTTTTTTTTCTTTTAATGAATATTCCGATATGACGGAAGTTTTGAATTTTGTATTTTTATTGGGTAAAAAAAATGGAATTACTCTGTCATCGTACGGCGCGCCATAAAGCCTTGACAGTTTTCTCATGTTATCAGATAATACGTGGGTTAAGGGCGGTGGGATAGATAAAACGGGTTAAAGTCGACGCTGTTGCAGGGACGGCACGTAGGAAAGGGTTGGACGTTTCGAGGAATAACGGAAGGATGCAAGGCAGAAGGGTGGAATCAGGGATTCGTAAAACGCCAGAGCCGAGCCCTGGGTACCTCGGAATGGGTCGTAATGCGCGGCAAACACATAACCTTAAAAACAAGGGAGGCGAACGGCGAGCGCCGAGGCGACACGAGGTAAGGGAGGGCATGGGCTGGCGTCGGGACGCGGGGCGTCACCGTAAACGAAACGACGCCGCTGACGACATTTGGAACAGATAATGGCGCGAATGTGCCGCGGGGGTGAACGAACTGAGGGTCGGACTGGGTTCGGTTGGGTTGGGTTGGGTTGGTATCACATCAGCTATCGATCTTATAACGCTGTGTGGCCCCCGTTGTCTCCCTGTTCCATGACTCTCATTCTCTCTCTCTCTCTCTCTCCCTCTCACTCCCACCCACTAACTCTCCTTTCTCTCTCACAATCTTTCTCACTCTCTGGCTTTAACTACCTACCGCAACCCTCTCGTCCTCTCTATCTGTCTCTCTCGCACGCTCCTGTCCTACCCTACGCGTGGTCATATGCACGTGCCCGCAGCTTCTTCCTACCCGAGATGTTAATTTTCCGGGAAATTATTTCGCCCAGAGAAAAGCACCCCCCGTCGCACGACTCAATACCAAGATGGACGACTGGGGGCCAGAGAGAGAGAGCTTCTCTCGAGTCCTTCGTCTTGGTTCACCTACCATAATCCAGATTGTACCCGCGCACTTCTCAGTCCACACTCCGTGCGGGGGGGGGGG